ACTAAAAAACCTACGGGTCAGAGAAATAAACTGAATTTCAAGCAAGATACATGTACACACATAATCCCATACCAAGTGCACAGCATAAATAGCTAAAAAATAGTAATAAAGAGAAAGTCTTAAAAGCACTTAGAGAAACAAGATCTACACTAAATATAGAGGAACAAAGATAAGAAGCATCAGCAGACTTTTCTAAAACACTGCATGTTAAAATATGTCATGTTTCAAATGCTGAAAACAATTTGTCAATATAGAGTCATAAATATATGTGAGTGTACCTGTATGTGTGTTTTCAATMCTTCAAAACATAAGGCAAAATAAAAACTTTTAGACAAGGAAAAAAATTCTCTAAATCTAGAATTCATTTTTGGTAGAACCATATCACAGGAAATATTAAAAGAAAATTCTTTTTTTCTTTTTGGAACCCAGGGGCACTTAACTACTGAGCCATATCCCCAGCCCTTTTAATATTTTATTTAGAGACAAGGTCTCACTGAGTTGCTTAGGGCCTTACTAAATTGCTAAGATTGGCTTTGCACTTTTGATCTTCCTGCTTCAGCCTCCCAAACCACTGGAATTACCTGGGATTACAGAAATTCTTTAGGCAGCAGAAAAATGACACAAAATGGTATCAGATCAATACAAAAGAAGGCAGACTATTGGAAAGGGTAAATGTATGAATACATATAAAATGCTTTTTCTCTTCATTCTTAAATTTCTTCAAAAAATAACCAGCTGTTAAAGAGCATACACAGTAACTGTACTGGAGGTTTGTAACACATATACAAAGAAAATGTATGACAAGAGCAGCATGGTGGATGGGAAATGGTAAATAAAAGCATACTGTAAAGTGTTCAATCATTATTTGAAGCAGATGTTTGTAATACATTAAAGCATATCCTGTAATACCTCAAATTACTTAAGAAATTCAAAACTGACCTATCATTAATAAGCCAATAATGGATATAAAATGAAATATTTAAGTAAAAATGTCCAAAACACTCAATCCATTAATCAAAAACACAAAATCACAAGTATGTCTGTATCTAATAGAATTTCAAATTACATGAAGCAAAATCTGACAGATTGAGAGAAAAAACAAATGGTCATGACACTAAAAATTGTATTTCTGTATATATTACCAATAAATAATTGCAAATTAAATTTTAAAGTGATTTACAATTGCATCAAAAACATGAAAAATATAAGGGAAAAGTTAACAAAATATGCAAAAACTGTTTCACTGAAAACTATAAAATACTGCTGAGGGAAAGTAAACAATTACCTAGAAATTAACAAGTATCCATATATTCTAATTGAAAGTCCCTAAGGCTTATTTCTTTTTCCTGTGTAAATTCACAATATGATTCTAAAAGTACATGGAAATGTGAAGATCTTAATATGATCAAATTTGGGGCAAAAAAATGAAGACTCATATCACTAATTTCAAAGCTTACTATAAGGCTACAATAATCATATAAAAATATTATTAACATAAAGAAAGACCTATAGAAAGATTCATATATATAAACTGATTTTCAACAAAAATGCAAAGGTAAATCAGTAATGAGTCTCCCCCCAGCCCCAAATAAATGATACTGAATATCTCTGGGGGGAAAAATAAACTTTATCCTAACCTCATACATCATCCACAAATTAATTTCAAATAGATAATAGATAGAACCATAAAAACTGAAATTTAGAAATTTATGGTGGGGGAAAAATTTTCATAACCTTGGTTAACCAAAAAATCCTATGTAGGTCACAAAAAGCACAAAATATTTTAAAAACTGATGAACTGAATTTTGCACACAAAAATTAACTTCAAACAGATAACAGACATAACCATAAAAAACAAAACTTAGAAATGTCTGGTTAAAAACGATTTTTAGCTGGGTATGGTGGCACATGCCTGAAATCCCACCAGCTCCGGAGACTGATACAGGAAAATCACAAGTTCAAAACCAGCCTCAGAAATTTAATAAGGTCCTAAGCAACTCAAGGAGACACTGTCTCTAAACAAAATATTAAAAAGGGTTGGGGGTCTGGTTCAGTGGTTAAATGAACCCTGTTAACAGGGTTCAATCCCTGGTAACACTCCCCACAAAAAAAGGATTTTTTTATAACTTTAGGTAAGCTTAAATTTAATTTTTGGGGGGCAGGAGTACCAGGGATTGAACACAGTGATGCTTAACCACTGAGCCACATCCCCAGCCCTTTTGTGTTTTTATTTTGAGACAGGGTCTCACTAGGTTGCTTAGGGCCTTGCTATTGGCTTTGAACTTGGTATCCTTCTGCCTCAGCCTACTGTATCACTGGGATTACATGTCTGGCTAGGTAAGCTAAAATTTCTTATAAAAATCACATACACACACAAAAAAAAAAACCCCACAAATGGTAAATATCTGTTTTTTCCCCTAGGTTAAAGACAGTACAAATATAGAAAAAACACTGATATTAGAAAATATCATTCCTAAGACTTAAGTTCACAACAATAACAAACAAGGACAATCATTTTATCCTTCTGGGTCTCAGCTTTTTCCCATATTTTTCAGCACTCTGTTTTCAGTATATATTTTATATTCCCCCAAATGTGATTTATAAGAAGAAAATTACACCAACTAATAAGGCATTAAGCATATGTCTGTGAAAAAATTTAAAAATCTGTCATTCACCAAATTTTAATATCCTAAATATACTTTCAGCAGCATAATTATTTATTTTTTAGTTGTCAAAGAACCTTTACTTTATTTGTTTATTTACGTGAAGTGCTGAGAATTGAACACAGTGTCTCACACATGCTAGGCACACACTCTACCACTGAGCTAGAACCCTAGTCTTTGCCAACATATTTAAACAACAAAAATCCTATAAAGTTCAATGGTTGGTTGTTGCATTTTCAAAGAGATAAATTAAATTCAAAAGTAAAAACTTTTTGCTCTAGAAAAACACTGAAAATAAAAAGGCAGGCAGGTCATGGACAGGAGAAAATATTTATACCACATATACATCTGGCAAAAGACTTGTATCCAGAATATATAAAGAATTTTTACAATTCAATAATAAAATGCACAGGAATAATAAAAATTCAGGATAGTGGTTTCTTCTAGGGTATAAGAAAAGTATAGGGAGCTTTGCTTATACCTGTGCTTAATTTCTTTTAAAACTGCTGGGTTGTGGGTCCATAGAGTTTCACTGTAATCTTATTTACTCTTTGCTTTATGTTTAAAATATTCTACAATTAAAAATAAAGACATTAACCCTATACCTGAAAAGATAGCTCAATTCATATTAATCCACTAAATTATCATAGATGTTAAGATATTAATGAACGACTTTTCTCCCATGGTTTATTTTCCCATGCTTATTTGGTGTCAAGGCACATATAAATATATTAAAGACTGGAGAAAGGAAGAAGACTTAGTTAAATTTCTTGTTTCCTACTAGCCATTCCTACAAGGATGCTTAAATATTTCCATAATCACTTCAAAACACTTATTCTAAATATGTTCACTGTTCTTTTTCTACACTGGACTCACATTTTCAAGATTTTTAATTTTCTTTACTGTCTTCCACCCCTTTACCCCACCCCACCCCTTTTTTTAAACAAATCTTAAGGAAAGCTGCTTAGGAGCACAAGATCTAGAGCTAGAATAGAGGGTTCCAATCTTAAATTCACCATTCAAAAACTGCCTGACCTTGGGCAAGTTACTTATCTCTGTGTGACTCAGGATAAATGTTGAATACATGTAAGTGTTTAGAGCTAATTTGGCCCAGTAGTCATGCTTAATAAATGCTAACCGTTATTTTATCTTCTTGTTACTATTATTATTATTAATACTTTTAGAGTGATTTTTTGTCTCTTCCTTTGTTCTCCCTATATCAAGGAAGGTACCCAAATCCTGTTAACTGTTCCCAGAACAACCTGACTTCTCCCTGTTTCCAGTAACTAGTAGTGAAGGTCAAGATTACTACAGACTTCTTATAAGCCTTCTTTTTTTCCCTAATTCTACCCAGTCAATCTATCATATACTACTGTTAGATTTTTATCCCTTTCCATTTGCTCTTCTGTCCTACAGCAGGAAAGTTCTATGGGGCTCTACACAGGAAAAAAAGTATTTCACAGAGGGTTCCAAAATTAATAACTGCTATAAAAGCATGAACAGAAAGTTTCATGGATGAGTTTTAATTCTACAAATATCAAAGCAAATTACATTTATTAAGAAAAGCAAAATTTCTAATGGGGCTGGGGATGTGGCTCAGTGATAAAGAGTTGCCTGGCATGCATGAGGCCCTGGTTTCAATCCCAAGCTCCACCAAAAGAAAAAAAAAAAGTAGCAAATATATTATAAATTGCCTTTGGACTAGCATTAGAAAGACCCTATTCCATCAGCAATCACTCCTAATACAGTTAACTTGAGTTTCACTTACCTCTCTAGGCCCTAATTTCCTTTTGTTGTAAATAAAATGTAATATAAGTGCCATCACTCTATGCTCCCAGTACTTAGAAGGTACCACTAATTGAGCATAACACATTTTCCTGATAAATCCAAAATAAGCTCAGTTAATCAGGAAATGTATATCAGTGGAAGAACTGGTAGAGGTCAATTTATATGTTATTCTTGAACTACATAATTTCTGAAGTTTCTCCTAATTTTAAAGGTCTGTGATTCTATTCTAAAACTACAAATCTACATAAAATTCATCTAATCTAAAATTCCTTTGTGATAGTAAGAGAAATCTAGAAAGTATTATGAAATCTTTTATAGAAATTATTTTTATAAGCTTCAAGGTAATTTGTTTTATATATTTTTAAACAAATTTCACTGTGCTATTTCATTATGAATTTATACTCTGGTGATATTGCATTTTGGAGTACTATATAAAAGGACCCAGGAATTGGATATGGGTACAGAAAAGTTATGCAACCTACTCTTTGAAAAGTAATGCCTGGAAATCTGAACATCATGTAACTCATTTTTTTTTTTTTTAACATTTACCTTTTTTCTTCTTTTGCTCTCAGCTGTTCTTCCTGTCTCAAAACTTGAACCATTATAGATTCAAAAACTCCACTTGTCAAGCCTGCCAAACTTCGAGGTGTTGACCGACGCCTTGTTGAAGTACATGCAGTTCCCTTTTCATCCTCCAATCCATAATAGCCTCTAGATGTAACTGCTATCGTTGTCTTTTCTCTCAAGTGCCTTGGAGAAGAATAAGTCAATTTATAAGGTCAAATCTTTGGGATAAGCAATAAACTCACTTTAACAGCATCTTAAGAAGAATCTTGTTTTCTACCTACATTAAAAGTATTTAGATAAACCTATTTTTTATCCTCCCCACATAATTTCTTTCTTTAATCACATCATATAATTAGTCTGTCAGTCCCTTCTCTATATTTAAAAAATATTAAAACTGAAGTATTAAAGTTAACACTTAAAGCACTATATTAATTCTTTAATGGAAAAATTTATTGTTTCAGATATATTTCATACAACATTGGTATGAGAAAAAGTATAACAACATTTTGGGAAAGAAAATTTACAATGATACATGAACACTCTGAGGAAATTATAAAAAAAATACAGCTTTACAATATATGATTGTAGGTTGAAATTTGGAAAACTTTCAACTAAATTGTTTAGGAATCTAGGAACCTACATTTCCTCTTCAATCTCATCATGTCTCCTTCTATGTTTCTATTAATACACCGGGATACTAATCTAATGCTTAAGAATAATGATAAAAAAGTTTCTTAGAAGTTTGCTTAATTATTCATGAGTCCCTTAATGAATTTAAAATAACTGATTAAAAACATTTACAATGAAAAGAGAAACAGTACATTAATCTTGGGAAGTTTTAAAAGCCAGGATAACTACTAATTTCTGARTTAGTATCTATTATATGAGGGTTAATTATAAAAAGCTTCCAGGAAAACATCTGCTCTTCCACAGCCTTTGAAGGTTTTGTACACATTGTTTCCACAACAACAAAATCAAGTCAATACTCAAAAGTAAGCAATCAACATATTGGATAGGAATTTACATGAATTAAATGTTGACCTTGTATTTCTCTGCTTTCCTATAAATTGTCTAAAGGTCCACTAAAACATAAATCTTTATGGCATAAAATAACATTTACATGATTTATAAATGAATGTGCATACTCTGGGGATACATATTAAATTTGTTTTTCTGCTCATGAAGTTAGTTTGAAAACCACTATTCTCATCAGGTAGTTTATAACTACCTGATAAACAAAACGTTTTCATATCCACAAAAAAGAATTTGTCACAAATTATTCAACTTCTACAAGATCTTGATCTTCTATTCTTCCAATTGTTATTCCCTCTGAAATTCTTCTTTATCCTCATCTAGATCTCTGGTTCCTTCTTTGACTCATTTGCTGTAATACAATTTAGCCTCTTTTAGTTATTCATGTATTTAAATAGTTGAAACTCAATACATGAGTAACTTAAATCATCTCCCGTACCAATTATCTTTTCTTTCTCAGGTACTTAGACTTTCTCTTACATCTCAGCCCAAAGCCTCTTTACTCCTTTAACTCCATTATTAAGCACTACAGTGAAAATACCTTGCAGTCTGTTTTCTAACTATACACACAACTGGGTTCAACTGTGACTAAGAAGACTTCTTTGAAGGTGGGCAGTTTCCTCTTTTGTTCTCCAGAACAGCAATTTCTAATGTCATCCTTATTCAAAAAATTTCACCACATTACCCACCATCACTTGGAAGTTGACTCTGTCCAATATTTATTTCACAGAAAAATTAGCAGTAAGAGCTCCATTCTGAAGTAAGCTCAATAAACTTCCTGCTTCTCAAAAAACAAAATTATCTAAATACAGGCTCATCCTTACTTTGTTTAGTGAAACTGTCCATAGAATTTTGTCGTCACAGTTGTGTAACTATTACATCAAATGTTAAAAAAGAAAGGACTTAAAATACTGACTTGGGAGTGTTAGTGATAAGGAAGGCCATAAAAAAATAAACAATATCTCAACAGGAATAAGTATAGGGATATAAGATATAAAAGGTATAAATTTAGGAATTATTGAGGGTTATAAATAAGAACACAGTAAAAGAAGGAGATTAAAAAAGATTAAAGGGGAGCTGGAGCTGGAGCTCACTGGCCTAGCACAGGTGAGACACTTGGTTCGATCCTCAGCACCACATAAAAAGTAAATAAATAAAATTAAGTCATAAAAAATGTTTAAAAAGATGAGTTACAGAATAACAGAAATTAATAAATGGAACAACAGAAGCCAAAAGAGAAGAGCTTAAGTGCTTAAATACTAAGTGCTCTAAACTGTTTAATTTTCCATGTAGAATGAGAAAGGATGAAGTAAAAGCCAAGGATTGTGCAAGAAGGTGTTCATTAGTAAAATTCAAGATGGCAACTTTAGTAAGGGATTAAGTGAAAAGAATCTTAGGAGTTAAAAAACATTTCAAAGCCTTTGTTCATTTCTGAAATGGCACCAAATAAATATGCCCAAAAGAAAAAATGAAGACAACTAGAGCTATTCTTCAAAACCAAATACATTGCTTAGAATATATTTCCTGATTTTGTTTTGAATTTAAGGACGGTACAAAGGTAGATGTAAAGTTTTTATTTAAATAGAAGTGGTATTTGAAAAGTGCCTTACTAACTTTAACTTGGTAAGCATTTTGAGTTGAGTTAGGGCTATTCTTTTCCACATTATTATTACTGCTACAGCTATCCCTTGCCAACAGAAAAATTCAAGCATTCTCAGAGCAGGCAGAACAGAAGTTCCCTAAGTCATTCTCACTGTCCAGATATTCATGTTTCCCACAAGACGATAAAGTTGTGATGAGTCTGCAAAGAAAACAGGCAGATACCCTGGCTGCCTATTTCTGGACAACTACCCTATATATCTGCCAAAAAAATGATGAGGCTCTAAAGTAGTAAATCGTAAATTGAGGACACTTTCAGATTCAGACAATGGCACAAATACGAAATATAGGGTGAGTCTTGCCCCTGTCTACCTGAAATAATAGATCTAACAGTGATACTGAAATCTGACAAGAGCTGAAATTAGGAGGATGTGACAAGTGGATGTTATAGTGTCCAAAGAAAGAAAGCACTGTTACCAACTTCTCTTTTCATTTAATGAATAGGAAGAATATCATCCTTATATTCAACAAACCTATAATTTCTAATGTTTTCTCATGTATTTCTTATGCCAAGTGATCAAACATGGGTGAAACAATTTGATTCCACTACATTATTAAAAAGCTACATATTTCATAGAAAAATAAACATTAAAAAAAAACCTGGGGGAGACATTTTAGTAGAAGACTCACTTTATCAGATGTTAAAATAAATTTTAAAGTAATGACAATAGGGCTGGGTTGTGGCTCAGTGGTAGARCACTTGCCTAGCATGCGTGATGCACTGGGTTCGATTCTTAGCACTGCATATAAATAAACAAACAAATAAATAAATAAAAATAAAGGCCCGTTGACAACTAAAAAAACACTTAAAAATAATAACTCATAAGAAAATGAGTCAAGAGCACAATGGAGAAAATTTGAAACTAGATCCATATATACCAAAAACATATCCTAAAGATGGTTTTTCAAACAATGGAAAAAAGTAATGTTACAATTAGCTGGAAATTWAAAAAAAAATAAAGTTGGACTTCAATCTCTCTCTTGACCCAAACTCTAGGCAGATCCATTCATTCATCTCATTTATTCCTTCATTAAATATTAAGTGCATGGTAGTGGGTTAGGTGTTGGCATCAACATTTACAGGCAAGACTTCTGTTCTTACTGAGCTTAATGACAATAAAGAACATATATAAAATGCAAGTAAACAAATATGGACATAATATACAAGTTCTAAATTATATACAGTAAATTCTGTGAAGGATAGTCAAGAATTAGGAAGTTACTCTAAGGAAATAACAGGAGGAGGAGCAGGTCATAAAACAAAAAAAAAATTAGGAACAGAATATTCTAGATAAAATATCAAGTATAAAGGCCCTGAGAGAGTGGAGTTGTGGCTCAGTGGTAGAGCACTTGCCCAGCAAGTGTGAGGCACTGGGTTTGATTCTCAGCACCCATATAAATAAGTGAAAAAAATAAAGGYCCATCAACATCTAAAAATATATTTAAAAAACAAAAATAAAGGCCCTGAGATGAGAAACATTTTAGCAGGTATGTAGGAAGAAAAGAAAGTCAAAGTCCTTTTACTGTAACCTAAGTGTCAATGAAGCATTTAGTTTTAAGATGAGTACTGACTTCTTTTAATGTCTACTTTAAAAATTCCATTCTGGCTTATCAGCAGAAAATAGAGTAGGAGGAAAAATGAGAAGCAGGATAAGTTAGGAAACTACAGCAGTATTTCAGCAGATGATAATGGCTTATACTCAAGTGGTAACAGTACAGAAAAATATACAAGATTGATTGAATGATTATTATTTACTTTTGGTGCTAAGGATTGAACCTAGGACCCTAGGCATGCTAAGTGCATGCTCTCACCACTGAAATACACAAAATTTAAAATATATTTAGAGACAGAAAGCTCACAATTGACATATTCATATGGGGAGTAAGTGAAAAGAAGGATCAGTGAAAAACACTAGCTTTATGGCTGGAAACACCTGGTAGTTGGTAAAATCTACTAAGATAAGGCTTTCTAAAGATTAAGAAAAAAACACACATAAACCAAACCAAAAGTTCAATTTTAAACATGTTAAAAGTGAAATAACTAATAAGACACCCAACTGAATATCAGAAACTATTAAAAATAGTAGCCTCTTAACAGCAGGAGCCCCTGGAACTGGTGAGAGAAGGACCTTTATTTTTCATTGAGTTATTTCTTGAACTGTTTATTTTTTGCCACCAKATATACACATTATTTTTAAAATTAATAAACTATTAATAGTACAAACACTAATCACTGGATTGCTAAAAAAATACATATATATAATAGTTACATTTCAACCATTTCCTTTAGATTTATAGTTACATTTTATATGCATAATGATTTTTAATTATCTATATTACAAATACTGTCAATCTTATTACTAAAGGTATCTGAATGTTCCTTATTCCCTGAAATTTCTTATGATCCTTTTCTCCAGTCTCTCTCAGTAGAAAAGACCTCTTTCTCTCAACCTTAACAGCTATTGCTCATAACAGCACAGCACTGATTTAGA